ACACAGACAACCTCTCGTCAATATGCGTTTTCTGCATTGCATAGCTGCAAAAAACGCATAAAAAGCTGCCGATGCTGATATCTCAATGGACATCTGTGTCATTGCGAGTGCCTAGGTAGTGATCGTGTGCAGCAATCGGAAACTGAGGGGGGAACCGGGCACAAAAATATCCACTGCCATAGTCGTACTTTCAGGTTCGCATGGAAGTGTTAAATCAGCTGAAGAAGGATACGACACTCGAAACAGCGCTCAATCCTTATGCGTATCGTCGTACAAAACGGCAGACACTGCGGGAGGCGCGGGTTACCGAAAAGCTTGAAAAGCAACAAAAAGTGGAGCAGGAGCGCCGTCGACGACAGAAGCACAACGATTTGCTGCAAGCAATCTTACAACATGGCAAGGAATTCAAGGAATATCATCGAAACAATTTGGTGAGATATTTCTGCCATGCGAAAGTCCCACTGAATTTTGCTTTCCCTGGGAAAATCGATGTGACCAAATTTGTTTAACTCATACTTGCCAACACCAGCCATGTGCTGGTAAAGCAGCTTTATTCCTATTTCTCCCAGTCAGATATGATGGCAGTTTAGTTCCCCTTCATCAATTTTTCATCGAAAAAATTGTTAAAGAGGCTAGTTTTCCTACTGAAGCAGCAACTTAAGCTTGCGAGTACCACTGGCAACTTACTAGCATACTAGGCAAACTAGAGCTGTCGAAAATTGCCGGAACTTGGATGATTTTCTTCAGGTTAAGCAAAGCAAAATAAAGAAAGCTGTGCTAACATATCATGCGAACAGCGAAAAAGAGCGAAAAAAGGATGAACTGAGAAATGAGCGAATGCGTATGCAGAAACTGATGCAGGAAGACGAAGAAGGTTACAGGTATCAATTCATAAAATCTTTGTGGTTTCCTTTCCTGGAAGTTTACTGGGGAAGGCATCACTAGCTTGCTGATTATGAGGATTGCTTTTATGTAAAACGTACTTGCAGGCGTACTTCCGTCAGGAGCTTCAGTGTTATGTTAGGATACGTGCTCAGTGTAGTTGCAGCACTGAAGAAATGCATAACATGTAGCAGCGGCGCTCACCCGGACAGTTAAGAAGATAGTCAGTGCCCACGCAGCTTGTTCCCTTTTCGGTTTTAGTTTGCAGGGGCTCGGTGCTTCAGTATGCTCATTCCTAGCAGTAAAACTTCAGTAGGCTCACTCTTAGCAAAAAAACTTATCAAAAGAGGTGGCGTAGAGAGCAGCATGACGCTGCAACTTTTAGGCTAAATTAATCCAGAAGTTCTTTTAATGTAATTTATTGCCATTTTGCTGTTTTCAGGCAGTTATTGGATGAGAAGAAGGATAAGCGTTTAGTCTTCCTATTGCAACAAACCGATGAATATGTAGAAAGTTTGACGGGCCTCGTTAAGCAACATCAAGCAACGGAAAAGCGAAGGAAGCGTAACGAGCGCCGCGAGCAGAAAGCAAAAGAAAAAATGGAAGGTTCGTTTTGCTGTTCACTCTTCAAAACATGTGAACATTGAAATGAAGTTTTCATTTAGTGCAAACATTCGTAAGGTTTTGCAGAAGGTAATGAATTGTCTGAGGTACGAATACGCATAAGAGATGTCGCCACCGGTGAACTGTTGTCAGCGGAGGAAATGCCGAAGTCGGAAGAAGTTGATTCATGGCTTGAAGCACATCCAGGCTATGAGGTAAAAATTACCTTTCCGATGTTTGATGTGGCAGTATAGTTGAGGATTTCGAGAAGTTTTTTCATGGTCAGCCAAGTATAGTTATTTTTCGTCTTCAGTTGTTTACATAAGTCACTTATCAGAGCAGAGTTTTTAAATTGTTAAAAATGTTTTCGAAGGTGATATCGCG